AGCCTACGCCTCCGCACGCATTACTGTACTCCGCTCATATCTGTCTCTTGATCCCTTGGTAAACTGCGCTGCGGGCGCCCGCCCGCTCTAGGGGCGGGGGAGTTCTGACGGACGGCGGGGACACCGCCGGACGTACTCCTGACCGTGGCAAGAGGCAAGACCCAGGGACGTAAGCGTACCCAATGCACGGCAGGTTTATAACCTGTCCCCTTGCCTTCGATGGCCGGGGGTGGACGGGCGACCGCAGCGCACTTTCCTGAGCCCTGCCAATTGCTACTCTTACACCTATGCTCCCGAACGTCTTACTCTAGCCTCTGTCAGTTCCTCGTACTTCCGGTATACCCCTAGCACCATCCGACACTTCTCCTCCTCACACACTCCTAGTTTGCACGAGCCGCTGGCTCGCTTTTGAACCGCCGTACCTTTCTTCTTTAAGTTGTAGTCAGTTGATGTACTTATGGCCTACCATGAGGCTCGGCCTCGCAGGGCAATAAACGGGATCCAGAAGAAGAAGAACGGTCGGAAGGACGCACTCCGGAAGCTGGTACAAGACACCAGTACACACTAGAATACACTCACGAAGTCAACGATGACGACCATGGGTGCTAAGGGCTCCGACTTCGTTTCTCCCACCCCGAACTAGATTGTCGACAAGGCGAAGCGTCTCTGATGAACGTCCCGGTGATAGGATCTAGTAGTTATGTCGGGTATGTGAGGACGCAGGCACCAGGCAGTCGTGAGCGACGCCCACACGCTTGAGAGTCGGGACAAAGCCACGATCTGCCGCAGGGCACCTCATAGATAGAAAACCGTCGCTGCGGCGGACCACAAGGACCTTTGCTCCCGACAATGCATGCGGAGACGCAGTGCTGCGCGCTGGACGTGAACACGAACCTTATTCCTGGCATGGCTAGCCTTCGCCTCCCTAGTTTCGACCTGGGGCGATACCCAAACGAAAATATCTTGGGTAGAAGTCGAGAGTAGCGCGCGAAAGAATTTCAGGATTAGGTGATGGAGCGTTGGGACCGCCTACGGTCATTGGCAGAGAGGCGGCAGGAGCGGAAAGTGGGCACGGGGACCCTGACACAAGTCTTACGGAGGGACAGTCGGAGGGCCTGCCGAAATGACACGGTACTGGCACCGCAGAAGGACAGTCGGACAGCGAGAAGACGCACCATATCCGCGGCCGGTGACCTTTGAAGATGAGCACAGCAGCTGCAATTCAAGAGAAGCAGGAAGCTCAGAGCTAGCTGCGAGCCTACTATGCGAGCGCGGCGGGCGACTGCCCCGAGAAAACCCGACGGCCGGTACAGTGTTCCCACGGGTCGTCGCGACGGATGCTCGGCCACACTCTCGAGACTGTCCTCGTCGCTTCGTTTCCGAAATGCAAATGTTGTCTATGAGCTAGGCACCTTCCCTGTGACTACTTACGTTCATAGCCATACTGCCATGAGCGTGGCTACTCACTCTCTCTAAGTGCGAAATACCCTCTTACAACGATCAGGACGCTATCGATGACTCACCCAAGTGCGATTTCGACCGCCCAGGAGCAATGCATAGTGGTAGCATATCACATAATCAAAAGCAGGTCGACGCAGTAGTCGGATATATGGTGAGTACTCTCGATCAATCCTACGCTGGGTCCCGCCTTCTATAGACGCGTTTCGTGTGTAAGGACGTATCGTCCTCATCTTCCCGAGCCGTCCGGTTCAGCTCGCAATACACTTGCTCCGATAAGCAATCAGGTGCAACTTCGGCTTCTACATATATCAACTGATTTTATAGAGATACTCTGCCACTATGCGTGAGTCCATGTTCCATGAGGATCACGCTCGTATCTGAACCGTCCCTTGACAGAACAGAGATTATGAGGATCATTCAACTATGGCCGGCGTTTGCCTATTAGATCGCACGTAGCACCTTGGTGCACTCGTATTACGAGACAACCGGGGACCTGCAATAGAAATTGATCGCTAAAAGCTTCGCGAGGTCTCATGTTGCGCGAGGAGGTCGAGAGCCGATGTATTCGACTTGCCATTGTCTTCAAACGTACGTGTTCCCTCGTGTTCAGTTGAGAGGGCTTGACTTCATCCAATCGTCTCTTATGGCTAACTTCACGATGCGCTTTGGAACGGGTGGATGCTTCTAAGCAGCATGGACGTCTCGTCAGCATTTGAGATCCAGGAAGGTTCAGATGGTGATGATGTTTCGTTACTACACGATGGGGATGGACGTATCGCAAGACTATATATACATGGTTCATCACCCCATCTTCATCATGATACATGTATCGCGAATATGCGATAGCTCCGTGAGTATCAAGTGGGAAGACGACATGATGATCAGACTCCCTGTCGACTGTCTCATTCTCTGCACTGAGCCTGATTTACATCGGCCCATCTCCCCGCCACCACCACTGACGGAGCCATAGAATGGGAGCAAATGATCTCAGGATTGACCAAGACGTCGCAAACCCGCAAGCCTTGGACTCCACGCACCTTCAGCTCCGCGTCGACGACACTCGGGCGAGCACCATGTGCATCGATCCCTATGCGGCAGGTAATGCGTAATGGCAGCAAGATTTGTGATGTCTATGAACAAACGTGTCGATAACCTCGTTGGGATCTGCCTCAGGAACATAGGAACTCCTCGACCAGGACCCTCCGGTTCAGGACGTCCTCGGCGACCTGTAGAGCCAGCCGCACGCCTTCTCGAAGAGGAGCCTAGTTGGGGTATCCAGGATCGATTGCGGGTGAGGTGTCAAGAGTCTGTGTAGCCAGGACCTACTGCAGACTACACTACCGTTCAACAAGCATAACCCCCTCAACTTCGCTAGCTGGTGCCGATGGCAACCTCCGAGTCAGGACCTGCTGATCTAGAGCACAGATACCGTATACACGCCCATGCCTCTTGCTATTTGTACCTATTATGACTGTTCTCACGCTCACCATCCGTGGGTCCAGGGCGACCAACGCAGCTACCATTCCCCCCATCCTCCCTACGTCTCGCCCCGTAAATCTCACATTCTCTCCCCGTCTTCGCATATGTCTCCTTCGGATTACCTAGGTAGAAGGAAGAGCGCGCGCAACAGGTGGACTTCTGCTAGTATCTAGGCCACTGCTGTACCTGGAGGGCCTGTGCAATGGATAGGTCGGTCAACTGTTGGCTTCCACCAGTTGACCGGCCTACCCAATGCTGAGGCGTTCATGTGGCCTTACAGCTCAATCCTTGTGAGGTACGCCCTCTCACATATAATCTTACTTATCTTTGTGCGATCCTGCCGGTGTGCATCATCACATTTCCCTCTGTATATCGTCAGATGTATCAAGTAAAACCCCTCGCGGATATTTGCCCTCGTCAACTGCTCGCTGTCCAGCGCTCTGTGTTGCGCTGCTGGGGACTGTTACGGCCCTTGGTGCACATCACTTCTGTTCGCTGCCGGTGCCCTCAACCGAATTGCCGAATCTGAGCCTTCGATATCTCTTGCTACGTACTCACGATCAACGATACTCTTACTTACTGTCTTCTGATACACTGCCAAATTCCAATCTCAAGCGTGTACAGGCGCTTTACTTTCACTACTCTCGTTCCCGATACAAGGACATAATGTACGACGAGTACGCATACTTCAATCCGCTCCTATTTAGCGCTTCCTGCGGACGGGCACGGAAGGAGGAGCAAATGCGATTGCGTTCGCATCAGGTTGAATATTGATGGCGCACACACTGAAGCGCGCTTCGTGAATTTCTTTTTGCTCATGACTCTACACATTGTGAGGACGTGGGATACTCAAAGTCAAGCTCATGTTCGTCTCCGGTACCGTGCTGGACGAAGGCACGTACTTCGTCCCCGAATCTCTTATCCGACGTCGTCATCGCTGACAGACCCATCCCCCTGACGCTTCGGCGAAGTATAGAATGTTGCCACGGTATTGCAGTTCTACCTCCATTGTCCTGCATTGAGCTGGCAGCTCGGGACTAGCGACGAGGCTTTCAGCATGAGCAGCGAGTACGAGCTCGCGTCGGCGATCTTGGGTGATGCGTCCTGTCAAGCTACCTGCTGCGAGTGGATGTGGATAGGAGGATCCCCGCCTACATGATTCAGCGCTGCTGCGGCCGATCCTGCTGCAGGATGTATGCGTGTCCTAACTCGTACCTTGTAGGGATCGCTTATGTTTTTTCTTCCGCTGACAGTACCTTATTCGTCCGAGATCCCGTACGTGTATGGCGACCCTGCGGTGATGGGAAGCGACCGAGAGCTTGAACTGCTCGTCACGTCCATGAGGGACTAGCGGATCTCGTCTACCGCGAGTAGCACGCCTCACTACGGCAAGGGTAATCCGAGAGGTGGTATTGATATGTTGTCTATAGATGTCTCTGCCGACGCGATAGTGTCCTGTAAAATCGCTCAAGGGCATGGCATACGAATATTCAGGTACACCGTGATTATATGGAACTTCCGCAGGCATCAGAGTCGCTGATAAGACGGCAAAAGGAAGACCTCTCTGTCTCTTCCGTCACCTTACAGTGGGGTCGGTCGGTGTGAGTTGTGTAACTTTCTCATCTCTAATATACATGATTTACCCTGTTATCCCCTATTACATGCTCAGCCGTTGCCTAAGTCGAAGAATTGGATCGTTTGTGCAAGTGGTGGTATGTCCCAGCCTAGACTACAGGGTGTGTCTTCTGCTTTCCGTCCAAAACCATCATCTCCGAGGAAGAGTGACAAGCAAGGTCAATGGGAGGCGCAAAGGTTACAGAGTCCAATGACTCGACCACATTCCCGTCCATCACGACGTTTTCCGGGGCGTTTCTCTGCCAGTACTTCCCCGAACACCAAATGGTGGCGAGTAGAACACTGACTATCTCCACGTATACATGGATCGTGGAGATATACGTGGTGAAAAAGGGATTAGCCGAGCGGAAGGTAGAAATGATCAGGATTATGTTGAAGATATTGGGGATGACGAAGTTTGAGGTGGACATCCAGAAGAGTGTGCGGAGTCTGTCGCGGTATGAGCCTGCTCCAAATGCAAGGCAGTGAGAGATCGAAGTTGATAGGTAGCTTACGACTCACTGCGCGCGCCCTGAGTATATGGAACAGAAGTTCCCGCTCGATGTTGCAATGCACCTCCTTGGCGCAGGCGCACGAGGAATAGGATGGAGGCATATCTGCAATGATGGTGAGCGGCATATCAAAAAGACAGGATAACCACACACAAGTCATATCGAAGTTGCGAAAATAACTCTGCCTTGATATAGGGTGATGTCCAGGCTACAAATGCGTTTTCTGATGTACGGAGTGCGTTGAGGAGACGACGGACAAAGAAGCCTATGTTGACGAGTCGGCCTGTGAGGATCGTGGCTAAGACGCCATATATGATGATGTTTTTCCTCAAGGACTGTCGATAAAGAGGATATACAGCGACGATTCGGATGAGGAGTATCATTTGAGTGCAGAAGGGAACAAGAAGGCTGAGACAAGTCAGGGCTTGAATGAAATGAATGTTCTCGGAGCGTCCTTCTATGTAGTTGAGGTTGACTTTGCGTCTTCTTTGTTGTAGTACGGACCTCGCGGACCTTTATGTTGTTTGTTTGCCCTTTGTACCGTTGTTGCAGCGCTTGACGTGTCAGTCAAGCGCCTCCACGCTTTGCTGTCCTCCACCATGTATATATGTCACGCCTCTTCTTCGTTGCGAATCATCAGCTTCCCTGCTTCTCTCGATCACCCTCACGCTTGAACTCTAACAGGTTATGAGCCCTGCGTAGGCTCTAACTGAGGATCTCTACGCACCACTGCTTATCTCATTGCATCTGTCAGCAAAGAACATGTCCACTGCAGACGTTATCGGCCGCATACGGATCGACCCGCTCACCGGAGTTGAGGACTGGGCATCCTGGAGGATCCAGATGGAGGATCTTTTGTATGGGCTGGGATTGTGGGACTATGTCGCCGAGAACGGCAAGCCGAAGCCTGCAGTCGCGTCGGCCCCGACGGAAGCAGAGAAGAAGCTCTTGGAGGAATGGGCA